GCTGGAACAAGTGTTAGAGGAAATGAAGACTAACCACTGCAGGAGAGTCGTCCGCAACATCAAGTAGAACCAGCTCACAGCTTTTGTCCCTTTGTATCATTTGTCAATTGATGATATATAGAAATCACTTTTCACCATTAACTTTTTTATTAACTGGTGGTGATAAATACAATAAGATTTCGTGAAATCTCTTGTTCCAGACCATTGAGTCCATGATCAGATGCTAAAGTGAAGCTCCTTTCCTGGTGCTGAACGTGATCAGTTTAACAGACTGAGATGTATTTTGTATTTAAGTGTGTAAATAGGACTGAGTCAGCCTGAAATGAGTCTGCAGTGTTCTTACCTTCTGTATATATGAACGATCACCCTGCTTTTGGTACCTCTTTTGACTGCTTAGCTTTTTATTTTTTTCCTCCTTATTGATAACAGTTTGAAAATAAAATTCATGATTATACTATCACTATTCAGAGTATTCCTAGACCACTAGTGATTTAGACTTTTGAAAGTATTCCTGTGGGCCAGAAGGTGGTGTGGCTGAGGCACCAGACTCCTGCATGACCTACCATCTTCAAGTCCCGGGCCTGCTGGCTTGCTTTCTCACTTTCACTCTCTCTGGTGAGCACACATCCCCTATAGCAAATTAAAAAATAGACAGCGCAGGGTCACCATGGCAGGGCTGCAGCAGCTCCAGGTCCAGGAAGCAGTGGCCTCTATGGTGAAGAGCCTGGAGTGAGAGAACACCCGGAAGGAAGATGGAGGGCCTCGTGTTCCGGTGCAGCGCCGGCTGCTGTGAGGACAACCAGGCTTCCATGTGGCAGGTGCATCAGTGCCTCGAGCACCGTCATGTGCCTCTGGCCCAAGCCCAGGCCTTGGTGACAAATGAGCTGAAGTTCCAGGACTGCCGGGCCCAGTGCACCATGCATTGCAACAACAAAGCCAAGACACACTCAGGGAGCAAGGAGCCTCAGGCGACGCTGCAGCTGGACAGTTGGGAGTCCAGGTGTGTGAATGGCCACATGCACCTCAGATTAGCTCCAACCGAGAAGATGAAGAAATCACTGACATCTAAGGGGCCAGTGACCTTTGGGGCGGAGGGCAGGAATATATTTGAAAAGAGCAATGGGAGTTTTAGTCTTTTAAGCAAAGTTTATGAAGAAATTAAGGATGGCAACAGTTTAAGGCATATGTCACTTGCCTGTGACCACTGGTTCTTTTACCCTTTGATCCTAGAGATTGAAATGGAAAAAACAGGTGCTAAAATTTGGGTCAGAGAGAGCACAAGAATGTTTCAGAACCTGAGTTTCAGGTGGCAGGTGCTTGTCCTGAAGTAGGACTCTCCCTTTTACCAAGTGAGAGCCCTCCACGGAGCTGGATTCTTCCTGCACAGACACCAACGTACTGGCCAGCCCCTCTCCCTGCCTGTGACCTGGCGCGCGGTTCGAGGAGAGGTATTTCACTGTTGCCAAGCAGTTTACAAGTAGTGTCGCAGCACCCTTTGTATGAATTGTAAAACACAACTCAAATGAAGACACTATTTAGAAGCAGAAAAGGTTTCTGGGTCTTTGTTTTGCTTGGTATTGTTTTGTGTACAAGGACACAGAGTTGTAAATGTGGAGTTGGGAGGGAGAGTAGTTTGGGTAACAATGTTGAAACAGTTCTTTATGGACAACCTTGACTGGCCATCAGATACGGATGTGTATTTCTTCGGATTCCTACGATCACACCTTTCAGCCTGGAGACCAGGTGAAAACTGAGAAGTATCAGCACGCTGAGTGTGGAACGCAGAGGTTCCCTCTTACTGCCTGGCCCTGACGCTGTCTTCACAGAATGATGAGACAGTCTTACAGTAAGTTTTCCCTTGATAGGAAGGGATTTTCATTGTGATATATTCTGGCACCCAAGAGTGAACAGTAAAAGAGAAATAGCTGGTTGCTTAAGCGAGTTGTGAGGTACTCCATGTGGAACACCTGGTTTTCCTAGAACAGAATGGAAGAAAGCCTACACTCGCATGGCTGACTTAGTTCCCAGAGTTCACAGAGTCCTACTGAGACAGTCCCCTGGCCACAGAAGTCAGAAGTCAGGGGGGGAAAGTAAGCAAGGTGGCTAGGATGAGCTGGGAATCCCTTGGGGCAAAAGAGGGGCAGTCTCCCATTACCAAATACCATTTTGGCCTGGGGCCTTTGCAGCATGCAGTGTTCCTGCCCCAGTGTGGCACCCTGTCCTTTTGATAAGCACCTTGTTGTCTCTTTGTCAGATTAATTGAAATGGTAATATAGCCTGCCTGCTATATTTTTCAAGACTGTGATTTTTTTTTTTAGTGATTTGACTTTTTAAAAATAAAGTTTAATTCCCCTCCAAAAAATTAATAGTAACAATAAATACAGTTAAATAATTCTTTACAAGTTACTTTAAATAAAAGCATCTCACAATGTTAATAGGTACACAAAACTGGAAATAATATGATTTTTAAAAAAAATTTTATTGGGGGGGCCAGCTGGTGACATAGTGGTTGAGGTGCTAGACTCCCACGTGGTCTACTGCAGTTCAGGTCCTGGGCTCTGTGGCTTGAGGCTCTCACTAGGCATGTGTGCGTGTGTACCCAGAATTCCTGGAAGAAAATGAAAGAGAAGGGATTGTGGGTTGGCCATCCCCTCAGGGGGTAATTTCTTCCATTCAGTCTCTCTGGAAAGCGCACGCACCCTATGGCAAAAACCTGTAAATAAATAAATAAATAAATAAAAATAAAAAATAAAAAAATATATATATATTAGTGGTATAGGCAGTTTGTGCATTTTTCTTTGCATATAAAGAAAGATTGGGGGACAACAGTTGGCATAATGGTTAGGGTGTTATACCTCCCACATGGCCGACCACAGCTGGAATCCCAGACTTGGCAGCTTGAAACTCAAGCTAGGCATATGTGCATTGTCTGCCCCAAGTCCCGAAAAGAGAACAGAAGAGAAGGGATTGTAGCATGCACATCCCGCCCCCCAGTGGGCGAGATGTGATTTCTCACTTTTTCTGTCTCTGGCTTTCTGGCAAGCATACATGCCCTATAGCAAAAAAACTCTCTAAAAACAAAAAATGTTTTTATCATATTACTTAAGTTTGAGTTATTATGGCTAAATGGCTAAAATTTACACAAGTTTGTGTGATTATATATTGCCTTTTATCAAGGATTTTTCCCCATCCTCAAAACATCTAAGAGACATGCCATTGTTTAAAGTTATAATAAGTTTGTGTGTATACTTATAAGTAGTAAGTAGTAAGTACAGACAATTATAAATAATGGATTTTAGGAATAATGTAATCAATTCTTGATGATCTAGATGTGGATTGCAATTGCTTTTTATAATTTTGTATAAACTATAGAAGGGGGAAGGCAGGTCATGTTTACTATATTATAAGCAAATATCCTTTCTTCCTTACAAACTCGATTTTGCTTTGTTTTATAGTAGATAACCAAAGCTAGTGGCTTGAAAATCTCAGATGCTGATTTGAAAGGTCAGCCTGAGAGAGTGCAGGAGTGGTGGCAGACAGCTGGAGGAGGATGGTATGAAAGGGTGGAAACGGGGGTTCAGTCTTAACTATGTATCCAGGGCCTTATCATTAGAGTCTCAGCCCCATGAGACCACACAGGAAGGCCTTTAGAACCAAACCACAGTCTAGACCCTATGAGCACTACACCTACTCAGGTAATGGGCCAGTGGGGGGAAAATTGTCACCTATTGTCCCCTACAGGCATCTGGCCCACCCGTTTTCTGTAGATACATGTGCAGTTGTGAAAACAAGTATTTTATCAGATACTGACAAACTATAATCAGAAGTCATTTTTAATTACAGTGACAACTTGATTATGGAAACTTCATCTCACAAACAAAAGTAAATGTTATATATTACACAAAATAGGAGCATGTCTTCTGTCATGGGGTTTAAAAGTAACATGTCTGTGGCCAGCAGGTGGTGTGGTGGTTAAGGTGCTGGACTCTCACATGGCCACCCATAGTTTGAGTCCCAGGCCTGGTAGCTTTCTCATGTTTTTCTCTCTCTCTGTCTCTCTCTCTCTCTCTCTGGTGAAACTGAATAATAAATAAAGAAATCTTTAAAAAAAAAAAAGTAACATGTCCGGGGGCCAGCAGGTAGTGTGGTGATTAAAGCAGTGGACTCCCACATAGCTGACTAATTTAAGTACCAGACCTGACAGTTTGCTTTCTCATTTTCCCTCCCCTCCCCCATCTCTCTCTGGTGAATATATGTGCCTGTAGCAAATTAAATTAAAACAATAATAATAATTAAATGATTATAAAAATAATAATAACACGTTTGCCAAGCTTATATGATAAAAATAGATCCATGAGGCTTATTTATTCACATTTGATAGAAGATAAACAGCTAACTCCAGTGAAGATTGAAGTAATAGCCTTAAAGTGTCCCCTCAAGGCAACCTTCCTTCTATCTTGCCTGCTATTCTTAACCCCAGTCAAAACAAGAAAGCATGTTAGTCTATATACTTTTTTTTATATCAAAAACCCTACTTCCTTTCTCTGTACTCTCTTACTTTTCAGCTTCTTCACCTTTGGGGCTCCTCCCTCTCTACCTTTGAGAATCTGGGATCTGTCTTTTAGTATAGGCCGTAGATGAGTCTCTTCCTTTTCTTGTTCAAACATTCTTTTATTTGGGTTTGGGGGTTTTTTTAGAGGATTTTTACCTTAGAATGCATATATTGGCTGAAGAGAGACAGAGACAGTGAGAGGGAAAGCGAGAAATCACCCCCACAGGGGATGGCCATCTGCAATCTCTTCACCCCCATTCTCCTCTCAGGATCTTGGGCATGCACGCATTCACATGAGTTTAAGCCACCGGGCCCTGACCGTGAACTGTGGTCGACTACATGGGAGTCCAACAGCATAGCCATTACGCTAACTGCTGGTCCCTCTTTCGGGATTTTGGGCACGTACCCACATATGCCCAGTGTGAGTTTCAAGCCACCAGGTCAGGACTTGAACTGCAGTCATCCATATGGGAGTCCAGTGACATAACTGCTATGCTGTTTGCTGGCCCCAGTTTTTGTTTTTAAGATGATTTGTTTTTGCCCCATGAACAAGAGAGACCCAGGGAGAGATGGGTACCTCGTGCTATGAGCCACCTCCAGCCTCAAGAGCCCTGGGTCATGGGCACAGGCATCCTCTGTGCCTTGGAAGTCTCTAGACTTG